TCAAATATATAACTATTTAGATATAAATTTTTGCAATTCAAACGAAATAAATGTCTATTTCTTTGGTTTACTTTTTCCAGTCATGAGAGATGTCTTTGAGAGATGAAAGAGTGAATTACATAAATGTCTGTTTACTGTGTATAATGTCTTACATATGATGTGCTAAACGATTATGTATTTCAGTTTCTATATTGATTTAATGTCACATTACATATAATTCACGACATACTGTATATAAAGATGCGGTAAATTGTTTGAGAAAATTGATAATAAAATAACACAATTTCAACCAAAAACACAAAATGCAATACTTGGTAAATAGTAAGTATAATTTGCTTAAAAATTTATAAATATTTAAATATACGGTATATATTTTAATAAGCGACTTATCGTCATAAAATATATGATCGCTCATTCAATACTTAATTTGATTGATTACAATATTTAATGAATAATTATACAAATTTTGATCAGAAAATATTATTAGGATTATAGTGAACTATTTAAATTTTTAAAATATAACTTTTGTAAACATGGTTAAGTTGTAAATTGCTCTATAATAATATACCATCCCGGCCCAACTCATGACGCCCTGGCATCCACGTTATATCCATAATAATTAAAAGTAAATCACTTCATATGAATCATAATTGTATTACAATAGCGTTAGTTATCATTATTCTGAAGAACCATAAATTAATTCATTGTTTGCGATAAAGTGTTGTGCGAATAGTCTATGAGATAAATACATTCCTTGTTTGGATTTATTTTAATAAAACATAATTTTATTTTCTAAATAATAAATATTTTTACAATTCTATTACAACATAAAATTCCTGTCGATAATTAAAACTCAAAATTTAATCTGAATTTTGTGTAAATGATTGGCAAAATATTTTTAAGATTCATTGATTTGTCGTACTTTCACATTAAATGTGACAAATAAATAGCTTTTAAAATAAACAAAAATACAACTCATAATTATATAATTAATTGTTTTTATTAAAACTACTAATTACTTGATATATGCTGTAGATTCTTGTAAACATAACCTGTTAATTATATATACTTTGAGATACGGCTATAAAACAGTAATAACAATAATAACTAACATTTTCTGTTGGATATAAATCTGTGTAAAAAGAGATCAAAATTCTTGTATCTAAACATATATTCATCAAATAATATCTGTTTATATGCAGTAAATATTAAAAGCAATGAAAATTGTTATCAGAGAAAAAATTGTTTTATATTATACTATTTTATTTTACTTTTTTATTACACCGTTTAATGAATCGCTTTGTGTTTAATTAATATCGTTTTCATTTCAACTTTTTACATTTTACTTAAAATGTACTCAATTTATAATAGATTTTGTGCTAAATTATAATTATTTGTATTTAAAAACTTTATTTCAATAATGAGTATTTACTTTCCAAACATATTGACTAAATAGACATTTGATTTGTTTAATGAGAAAGATTTCGTTCGTGTTTTCAAAGTCAATAATTTAGTTCCTTATTGTTTTCAATGAGTTTTTCTCTGTTATAAAACTTAAAGTTTGTGTCAATTTAAAGCCAATTCATAGACTACGGGTGCGATGGCTAAGAGAAACGGCAAACCAGCAAATCTGGACTTAAATGATAAACAGTCGCCGATATTACCACAAATAGCCCGCATAAGGACTCTGGAGTCGATCGGATCCGTGCCCTCTACCCCATCCCTAAATGTCAACCGTTTGGCATACAATGTGTCGGAGTTTAACAAAGACTTTGTGCCGATTCCCACCTCCAGGGAGGAGAAGATCCAGAAGTTTAAGCCCGATGTGTCCCGAAAGGCGTGGATCCGCCGATTGCGGGGCATATTTCCCATCACATTATGGCTCCCGGAGTATAACTATAGAGAAAATCTGTTGACCGATATATTGGTGGGCATTACTGTTGCCATATTTCAAGTGCCGCAAAGTGAGTGATCATTGAACACATGCCAAGTCATAACTAAACGTATGTTAATTAAAACTATTATTTGTCTATGTATTAGGTATGGGTTACTGTCTGATAGCACACGTGCCGCCAACCTATGGCCTATACTCTGCCTTTTTCCCGGCCCTCTTCTACACCATCTTCGGCACCGGCTATCACTGCGCGTTCGGTCCCTTCGCGCTCGTGTCCGGTGTTATGACCGGCGATATTGTCACACAAGTGATGACCGAATTGGGCAAAGATGTGACCGCAGGTAATATAGAGAAAGGCACCAAATTGTCAAGTGTTTTGTCGGACACAATCGGTTCGACACTCGCGCCCGCAGACCAGTGGCACGACTTGGTTAACATAGACATTGCTATTATGGTGGCGATGATTATTGGTATCTACATCTTGGGCTTCGGTATCCTTCAGTTGGGTTTCATATCAAACTTCATGTCCGAAGAGTTGATCAGCGGTTTCACCACTTCTGCCTCCATTATAGTGTTTGTCTCACAACTGGCATACCTATTGGGTGTTGACTATAAACACTTCGCCGGACCCTTTAATCTGTACTACACTCTCGAGGAGGTGTTCACGAGACTGAATGAGGTCAATCTGACCACTCTGGCCATCACAGGTGTCTGTTTGTCGATATTATTGTTTTTCAAACTAGTGGTCAATCCATACACACAGAAGACTCGGGTGAAGACTCCCTTTCCCATCGAGTTATGTGTTGTGATCGGAGGCACTATTGTTTCACATTTTATGGGTTTAAAGGACGCGCCCTATCATGTGAAGATTGTTAACCACATCGCCGACCAGTAATTATGCTACTTTTATCATTTTATTTTGAATTTTATTAGTTGTATCAATAGTCTGATTATTATGTAATTATTATTAATGAAATACAAATCACGTGTATTAACATCCTATTTACTCTGTTATATAATATATTGATCATTTAACTTATTTCTAAATATAAACTCTCTGTTTAAATATAATTAAGTTTAAAATTACTCAATAATTACAACTATGTTTAAACAGAGAATTTACATAAACAATGGGTGGGAAATGATACTTAATTTATTTGTGCCAATTCATAAAAACTAATAAATGACAAACATTATTACCCAACAGTTTCCCGACCCCGATGTTACCCCGATGGGATCTGTTCTCCATAATGTGGAGTAAGTGTATCGCCACAGCTATAGTCGGCTACACTATCACACTCTCGGTGTGCAAAATGTATGGCAAAAAACACGGCTATAAGACCGATGCCAACCAAGAGATGGTAGCCATGGGAGCGGCGAATATGATATCGTCGACCTTCCAGTGCATCCCATGCGCGGCGTCTTTACCCCGGAGTGCACTCCAGGAGACGGCCGGCGGTAAGACCCAAGTGGTCAGTATTGTCAACTGCCTGTGCATTATTGTCGTCATACTAGCGCTCGGCAAGTATTTGGAGGAATTGCCAACAGTTAGTATATTTTGTGTTAAATTTTTTAAAATTAAATATTGATCATGGTCTCATTTATAAATTATATAGTGTGTATTGGGTTCGTGTATAGCCGTAGCGCTGGTCTCATTGGTCACCAAAGTTGGCGATTTTTGGCGCTTCTGGAAAGTGTCTAAACTGGACGGGGTATATATAAATTACCAATGATGATCATGTATGTTATTAATTTTGTCATCTTGTTTGTTTAGGGCATATGGATTGTCACATTTGTGGCAGTACTAGTGATTAGCGTGGATTACGGCTTATATATCGGGCTAATATTGTCGCTATTGTTGTTGATATGGAAATCTGAAAGACCCAAAACCTATTTGTTGGGAACCACTAGTGATCTCGATATATACGTACCGATCAATAAATTCAATAATGTTGAAGAGCCCAAGGATTTCAAGATATTTCAAATGTGCGGTCCTTTGAATTTCTCAAATGTTGAATACTTTTCCACTGAATTGGAAAATAAATGCGGATTTAATTTGACGTAAGTTTTCTAATGAATGATAATAATCGTTGAAAACAACTGATAAAACATTTACATTACTAGCAATTAATTAATAAAAATAAATAATTACTATGATGCTTATTTTATTATTGTGATAACTATTTTTAATTCTCTCTCTCTCTCTCTCTCTCTCTCTCTCTCTCTCTCT